AGATGCTGTGTCTCTGTGAGCAACGTGGTCTCTGTGAGCAACATGGTCTCTGTGAGCAACATGGTCTCTGTGAGCAACATGGTCTCTGTGAGCAACATGGTCTCTGTGAGCAACATGGGGAAAATTGCCATCTCTTCTGTAAGGAAGATGGGAAGGCCATTTGCAGCCTTTGTGTCCAGGAGCACCCAGGTCACCAAATATCCCTCGTGGAGGAGGTGGTCAAGGAATGTCAGGTAGGCCCCAGAGTGTGGAAACATTAGGCAGAATGTTACCTGAAGTGAAATCTTTACTGCTTAATCCTATTTCTTTCCCTTGTCATCATAGAACTGAGTGCTGCATTCTGTTTGATATCCTTGGCTCAGCTTCTGAAGCCTGAGGGACATTGTTGTGCATTCATTCATTTTCTTCAGTAATATGCATATCAAAGAGAAGTTGTATGAGTGAGAATTTCTCAAGATAAATTCTGATTGCCCCATGAACAGATGGAATTTTTAGGAACATGATTGGTTAGATCTGGGAAGAGTGTTCTTGAGGAGAAAGGACTTTGCTTGCTGCAGGACCAGCTCTTTCTCTAGGAAAAGAGAAATCCAAGCTACTCTTAACATAGAGATGAAAACTTGCATCACCCTGGGATAAAGGACACACATACTTCCTCAGATTTCTGTCTGCATTCTCAGTTCTAATTGCTAGCTTCAGTTCTGAAATTCTAGTCTCTTCTGAGATGAGCCTGATTTCTTCTCCATTTATCTGCTATCTAGGTGTGAGGAAGCTCATAGCTTGACTTTGGTGGTTCCTTTCTCACAGGAGAAGCTAGAGGCAGCTCTGGACAGGCTGACAGAGGAGCAACAGGAAGTTGAGGAGTTGGAAGCTGTCATCAATGAAGAGAGAGCTACCTGGGAGGTAAAAAGACATTATTCTTGAGGCAGCTCTAAAATAGCAAACTTAGTAGCACCTTGTCCAATCACAAGGATGCCCCTTCCTCCTTGTTAGCTCAGAATTAATGAGTTGAGAAGATGTTTGTTCAGTCCTCATTCAGTTCCATTCCTATTAAGAGTTGAGAGCTACAGAGTAGACACTCCCAAGTGAAAGCAGAGGCAAAGACATAGAGAAGACCAATGTAAAAGTGATTCATGCATCTGTGTCCCATTTCATTCATCAAGTTTGAGGTTCTGATACTTCCAGAAGAAACGTTAAGGAAGGCTCAGGATTCCGTTTCGGAGATATGAGTAGAGGAGTTTCATATGCAGTGTGGCATGATTATCCAAGACAGGTGCCTGTAATCCAAGTCTCATTCAGGAAGCACATTGTGTTTCCTGGTGGGCCTTGAGAAAGTAAACTTGAATGAATTACTTTGGGAGCAACTCAAGAGAAAAGAGTTGGGAAAATGCTTTTCCCGGGAATGGCCCATTTTCTTTTACCTCCTAAGTGCCTGAGGAATATCACTTTTGTCTTGGATCCCAAGGCCCAGGCCCTCAGCTGGACAGACTGACTGTTTCTTCCTCTTCTCTTCCCCAACAAATCACATGCAGACTGAGAGAGAGAGGATTCGGAAAGGGTTTGATGAAATGAGAGACGTCCTGGACAGAGAGGAGCAAATGGAGCTGCAAAAGCTGTGGGAAGACGAAGTGCATGCGCTGGATAACTTGGCAGAGGCTAACTATCAGGTGGTCCAGCAGAGGCAGTACATGAGAGAGTTCATCTTGTATCTCCAAAATCATATGTGTGAATCATCTATAGACATGCTACAGGTAGGACTTGGGCCGGAGCACCTATATATGTGATTTGGGGAAATCACAGAGATTAAGCTTCCTTCCCCGCTTCGTGTCTGCATTTTCTTCCTTATTAAAAGACTAGAGACCCGGGGCACTAAAATTTGTGCACTTGGAGATTTCCTTCAGCCTGGCCTGTGCCCTCTCGTAGTCTGGGACCCCTCGGAGAATGTCCACCTGCTGGCTGAGTTTTTTCTTTTTCTTTTAAATTTAAGGCAGTTCTGGCTGTTTTTTGTCAGATACAATAACAACATAAACCTAATACAGAGTGTAAAACGTTTTGAGCAGGTACAGCCAACTGGCAGCCAAGGCTTTGTTGGTATAAAAGGGTTTAGACTAAAGAGGGGGAAACCAAATATATTGGTGTATTTTTGTCCAAATAAGCAAATAATGTTATGATGGGAAAGATGAGATGGCTAAAAGAAGCTTAGCATAGGGACTGAACTGGTTTAGTACAATATTGGAATTCAGAGTAAGATACACTTTTAAAACATTCTTTTAAAAATATGTTTTTACTGATTTCAGAGAAAGGGAGAGGGAGAGAGAGATAGAAACATCAATGATGAGAGAGAATCATTGACCAGCTCCCTCCTGCATGCCCCCTCTTGGGATTGAGCCTGCACCTCATTCATGTACTCTGATCTCTTGGTTAATGGGTCGATGCTCAGCCACTGGGCACAGCCAGGCTAAGATACACTTTTTAATGAAAGACAGTGATGAAATAGATATTGATACTATTCTGGACAATGGAATGTAAATGGCTGGGAAACAGTCAATTTCATTATAGACTTTCTCTACTGCTGGTTTCTGTGACTTATATCATACTTACGCATTGATGAGATTCCTTTAGGGTAGTGTGTAGAATGTATAGAATGAGTAGAAGAAGACACGGAAAAACATTTGCTTGAGTACTAGTTTGCTTGTTCCTACAGCAAAAGAAAAATGTATGTCCTGAGGAATGTAATTATTGATTAATCATCTTTGATTCCCCAGAGTTTGGAATTATGTCTAAAAAATAAATTTTCCTTTGTCACTGGAATATATAAAATCATAATAAATTAAGGGGGTCTTCTCATGAATGTGTATAAAGAAATAGTAGGCTCCTCTCTTCCTTTTAAATATATACTGTCTTTAGGTCCTGGAAGCATATTTTCACTATCCTTACATGACTCCTCTAAGATGGTTGGTCTGGGTCTTATCTCTACAGTTTGTCCCCCATCTATATTCTGACCATCTATTTATTTACACCAGATCAAGGGGTGCTAGGGATGTGAAGAGGAAGGTGAGCAAAACTTTGAAAGGTAGGAAGACTTAATAAGGGATGTGTAGCTAAATTTGAATTTCAGATAAATAACACATTATTTTTTAGTGTAAGAGTATCTTAAATATTTCAGAAGCCATGCTTATACTGAAACATATTTATGATTTATTCAAAATTACATTTTAACTAGCCATTTTAATTTTCTAAATCTGGAAACCTTACTCTTGACTTATGTTTTCTCTCTTTTCTCCAGGATATGATTAACATCTTTAAAAGGTATGTGTGTGTGAGACGAAGCATGGTCCTTTTTTTTTTCTTTTTTGTATGATGACAAAATTATAGCTATAAGAGTAATTTTGAATCAATTATAATTTTAAAAAATCACAGATGTGGTAAACTTGGGTATTACAGTATTTCAAATTGTTGATAACAGGTGAAACTTTGTAATGGTATGGAATTTGGGTGGTGGGAGGTCACAGATTTTGGGATAATAGAAGCATTAGAAATAAGAGTCCCAAAGAAGAAGAATCCAAAGAGGCCTACACCAAGACACATTATAATTAAAATGCCACCTGGAGACTATTATGTTAAGTGAAATAAGCCAATAAGAGAAAGGGGAACATCACATGAATTCCCTTACTTGTGGAATCTAATGACCAAAATGAATTGACCAACAGAATAAGACCCAAGGCATGGAAGCTAGAAACAGATGGACATATCTCAGGGTGGTGGTGGTGGGAACAAGAAGAGATAAACCAAAGAACTTATATACTTATATGCATAGGCCATGGACACAGACAATAGTTTAATGAAGGCCTTGGAGGGGTAGAGGCTGGCTAGAGAGGGATAAGGGGTGAGGGGAATGGAAGATATCTGTAATACTGTCAACAATAAGTATATATTTAAATTTTTAAAATGTCAAAGGTTAAAGACAAAATAAGAATCTGTTTAAAAATATATATTTTTATTGATTTCAGAGAGGAAGGGAGAGTAAGAGTGGGATAGGAACATCAATGATAAAAGAGAATAATTGATCAGCTGCCTCCTGCACACCCCACACTGGGGATCAAGCCCACAACCCTGGCATGTGCCCGGACCGGGAATAAACTGTTAGCTCCTGGTTCATATGTTGACGCTCAACCACTGAACCATGCCAACCAGGCAAAAGCGAGAATCTCAAAAGCAGCAAGAGAAAAGTAATTAGTTACCTACAAGGGAGCTCCCACAAGATTTTCAGGTGATTTCTCAACAGAAACTTTGCAGGCCAGGAGTGCCATGAAATCTTCAAAATGATGAAAAGCAAGGAGCTACTACCAAGATTACTCTACCCAGCAAAGCTCTCATTTAGAATTGAAGGTCAGGTAAAGAGCTTCCTAGACCAGAAAAAGCTAAAGAAGTTCATTACCACCAAACCAGTATTACATGAAATGTTGAAGGGTATTCTTTAAGAAGAGAGGAAAGTAAAAATTACAAATATGAACAATAAAATGCCAATAAAAACATATCTGTCAACAATTAAATCTAAAAATAAAAATAAACAAGCAGAACAGAAACAGACTCATAGATACAGAGAACATTCGGATGGGAGAAATAGCTTTGTATGGTGTCAGGTAGGTATGAGATTTTGGGGGATGATTACTTAGTAAGATTTATAATGTCAAATCACTGGAATGAACCCCTGAAACTAACATAATATTGTATGTCAGCTGTAATTGAAAAATAAAAAATGATTTGAAAGAAAGAATAGGTTACAGTATCAGAATACCATAACTTCACTCATTTTAGTCAAACCTTCATCTCTTCCTTCTATATTTAATAGGTGTCTGTCTTATCACAGGGAAGATCTTTTCCTCTTTACCTCACAGGCTCCCAAATCTTCTACAAGAACATTTTCCTTACATATCCATTTCTCTATAGTGAAACAAGGTCTTTCTAGGTGATGTTCTTTGGATTGCAATGAATTAATTAACTAATTAATTAATTAATAATAAATAAATGAAAGACTCAAATCTCAGGGAATAGTGACTTTAGTTCTGGTGTCAATAATAAATTTCTTTTCTTTTTACATGTGTTAACAACTTCTAGGAAAAATGGCTTCCTTTGTCTAAAGTTGTCTACCCTCTTGGCAGCATCAAGCACATGAAATTCTGATCATTAGTAATTTGGATGTATTATCTTCCCCTTTCCCAAATGTTTGAAATGATTCCCCAGAAGAGAATGTGACTTTATATGTTATTAGTGACCCTTCCCATGAAATTGCACAAGATTTGGGATCCCTCCCTACTCCCCCCCTGCCACGTGCCATGGGACTGCCTCGAGTCCCAGGGTCCCCCGTGTGGCCAGTGTGCCATGGGATGGCCCCAAGTCCTGGAGTGCCGCCCCAATGCCCCTCCTCTGGGCCATGTGCAGCAGCCACCGGGCCCTGCCCCTGCAGCATGCACACAGGGCCATGGAAACCCCAGCAGAAGCCGTACAGAGTGGCTGCTGACTCTGCCCTGCTCCCCTTCCCCTGTTGTACATGCTGCCATCTTGAGGTGGCATTACAGAATGAGGGTCAATTTGCATATTACCTCTTTATTATACAGGATACTCAGCATCTGTACTGGAATAATAGACATAGAAAACACTTCAGATTTGCAAACTAGGTTCTAGAGCGTCTCCACTAAGCATCTGCCTGGGCACCATTATCCTTGGCCTCTTCCTGGAGGAACCACTGAGATGGCAGTGACTCCTCCATATGTGAAATGCTTTTTATTAGAGGCACCAAACAACTTTTAAAGGTACCACCATTACATCTAATAGTGTATTATTTTAAGAGGTAGAGAGTATGGGGTTAATTTTTCCATTTGGGAAGGAAGAACATGAGCTTTATGAGAAGAAGTCCTTCCCAAGGTCACACAGAGAGTAAATAGAAAGGTAGACACGAAGACATTCCTTCTGGTTGCAGTGTCAGGACTCTCACCTGTATCTCCCTCAGGCTTTTCATTGAAGAGGATTCAAGTGAGAAGGCATCAGTGGAGAGACAGTGGTGAGAGACAGTGGTCTTGGAGAGACACAAGGTAAGAAGTGTGAGGGACCAATTTTTGTCTTCTCTAGGAGTGAGGTCTGGACCTTGAAGAAGCCAAAAATTGTTTCCAAGAAAGTAAAGAGTACATTCCGAGTTCCAGATCTGCCTTGGATGCTGCAAGTGTTTAAAGGTGAGGAGAGCCAGAGGAAGGATGTGTGTGGGGGATTCTTATAGTCCCAGAGCACATGGGGTAATGGGTGCTTCTCTATATGAGGATAAAAGAGAGGAGGTAGGCCTCACAAGAAGACCCCGGTACCCTGTGCTGAAGATGTGAACACATCTAAGCGGGAATGATCAGCTGTCCTCCTTCACCAGCTGACAGCATCACAGGCTTCCCCTACTCTGTTCCCACTCAAGAGAAAGGATGGGAATTAGAGTTGCCTTTTTTGCTTCTAACCGCACCATTGAAACTTTTGTCATTTCAGAGCTGGCAGAAGCCCAAAGCTACTGGGGTAAGAAGTTACAGGTTCTTCAAATCGCCATGTTCTGATCCCTTTTCAGAAGCTGTGCTTACTCTTAGGTCCCATGATCTTAGTTACATGGGTTCCATCCAAACAGGTATACATACATACAACAGTTCTTAACTGATCTACTCATCATTGACCCTTTAACTCATGTTCCTCCAAGTCAGTTTCCCCTATTCCTTCTCACAATGTCACAAGACACATGCCATATTTAATTCACCTGACTGTGTATTTTTTCCTACAGTGGACTTGATGTTG